TTGTGTGTCTGCAGGAATTTAATGAACTGTCTGCCCTCAAAGTGAATGTTCTGCATGCATCCTATTTTGGTCCAAATCCTCCAACCCCTCTGTGCCAATTCTGGGAGATGCAACTGCCTCTGCATTCTGAGTTGCTATCATAGGACCATCTTGCCTAAGATGTCTTCAATGTTGCTGATATCTCCTGCCTTGTTAAGACCCCACCTCATAAGACAGAGGGTCCTTTCTCTTTTGAACAACAGAAGATGGAAATCATCTGTTGTCTCTCTGGAGTTTAATGACAGAGAAATGTACCATTGTCATATTGCTGCTTTTGGATTGCAGGATTGCAGCAAGACTAAATAAGAGTGTACTCTATTTGGAAACTCAGGAGCCAAGCAGGTTGTTGCCATTGGGAGAGTCATTCTCAACCATCTTCCCATTAACAGCTGTGAAGGGGCAAAAGGGAGCTTTTTCCCTGGTGTATTCCTCAAATGAAGTTATGGAAAATGTGGATTGGTGCCATCTAGATGGGCTTTTTTCAGCATCAGTTTCACTGACTGAACCATTCTGCTTGCTTGCCCATTGGACTATGGATAAACAGGGCTGGAATAGATGACCTCTGTGAACCACTTGTATGCAAATTCCTGCATTCCTTGAATTGCAAAAGGGACATGATCACACAAAAGCTCCACTGGAATCCCATGTCATGCAAATAAAGGTTTTAACTGGGCAATAAACACAGCAGAGTATTACTGGGTACTTAGATCAATCACAAGTAGAAATGAATGTCTCTAATTTCAAAGATATCTGCAGCTACTTTCATCCATGGTAGCTCAGGAATTCCATGAGGGAACATAGATTCTCTCACACTGCTATGCTGGAGCAATTGCTCTGTGGACAACTTGCTAGGAATTGCTCAATCTGCTTGCTCACGCCAGGCCAGTATGTAACAGATCTGGCACATGCCTTTGACCACTGAATGCCTGAAACTTCAGCATTTCCTTCCTGGGTTGTAAAGGGACAATTATTTTAGACCTCATAAACACTAGCCCATAATCGATACCCAACTGCTCTCTTACCTGCTAATATGGCTGAAGCTTAGATTTAACTAGCTTATACCATTTATGCTAGTCTGTAAGATGATAGGTTTTTAAGGCTTACAAAACTGGTTTGTCACTGTACATTGCTGCACTCACTTTAACTGATGTTCTGGTATCAAAACAGGTGTAAATTATAAACAACACTTTCATCTGATGGTATGTCCTCTTTCATAGCTAGGGGAAGCATAGTATGATCAGGCACTCTTCAAACTAGATATAAAATTGTGTATGCTGCACTAGGTCATATGGGTACATCACCTGTTCTAATAACACAAACATCCAAATTAGCTTCTTTGTAGTGCACTTAACCATACTTTCTGGTTTAATACATGCCCCACCAAGCACACAAGGTTCACCAAATGATGCCTCCTTGGTATCAACCCTGGCAGTGATTGTGCTACCTGCTGAGGAAGAACATTAGCTTCAGCTCCCATGTACAGGATACCTTAGACCGCACTGGTATTCCAGTCACAGCTACACTAGCTTGCCATAGACTGTTTCCATTTATCTGGTATGTCTGATATTCTGAATAATGCTCCCACAAACAGCTTGCTTGCTTGCGTACATTTTTGCCAAATGATATTGCCAGAACATTCTAACACACAGTGCCAAATGTTGAGCAATTTCTTGGGTGTGAACTTTCTACAGTGTTTGGACATAACCTGCCCATCCTACAGGGAACTTACTAGGTGTTTGTTTATTTTTATTTATTTATTTACAGGACTTATATGGCCGCCTATCTCATACAATGGCTCTAGGTGGCTCACAACAATCCATAAAACAGTTAAAAACATACCCTCCCCCTCAGGCACTGGATCTAACATCCTCCCAGCTCAACCCCCCTCCTAGCCCAATGCCTGGGGGAAGAGCCAGGTCTTCACAGCCCTCTGGAAGGCTAAAAGGGGTAGTGGTCCCTCTGACCTCCAGTGGGAGGCTGTTCCAAAGGGCTGGGGCAGCCACTGAGAAGGCATGCCTTTGAGGTCCCATCAGATGGCAACATTTAAGGGAGGGGGCCTGGAGCGCACCCACCCTATCTAACCTAGTAGGACAGGCAGATACCCTCAGGGAGGGGCAGTCCCACAAATACCTGGTCCTGTGCCATGTAGGGCTTTAAAGGTAATGACCAGCACCTTGAGTTGCACCCAGAAAGCATTCTGTAGTGAGATGGGCAGTGACAAATTTGAAATATAAATAAATAAATGAACTGGAAGCCAGAGTAGCTTCCACAGCAGTGGTGTTACTTCAGTGAACCACAAGGCACCCAAAACTGTGTTTGTTGCTGCACTCTGAACCAGTTGTAGCTCCCAGATGATCTTCAAGGGCAGCCCCATGTAGAGTGCATTGCAGTAATCCAAGCGGGAGGTGACTAAGACATGGGTGACTGTGAGCAAGGCCTCCTGGTTCAGGAATAGGTACAATTGGCGCACAATGGATTTGTGCAACGGGCCCCCGGCCATGGCTGCCATCTTCTTTTCCAGCAGGGGCCATGAGTCGAAGAGGACCCCAAATTGAGCACCATACTGATGATACTGAACCCCATGCCAGGGGATGACCTCTCCCAAAGGCTTCATATAGATGTTAAATAGGAGGGGAGAGAGACCCAAGCCCTGAAGCACCCCCCATAATAGGGGCCTAGGGCTGGACCTCTCCTCCCCCTCTAGCACTGACTGGTATCAGCCATGGAGAAAGGAGTGCCCCTTACTCCCAGTCCCCAAAGTCGGTCCAGCAAGATACCATGGTCAATGGTATCAAAAGCCTCTGAGAGATCCAGAACCACCAGGATGGACACACCACCCCCATTCCGATCCCTCCAAAGGTCATCCACAAGTGCGACTAATGCTGTCTTGGTACTATAGCTTGGCCTGAATCTTGACTGAAAAGGGTCCAGATAATCCACTTCATTCAAGGCCGCCTGTAGCTGAGAGCCCACCACCCTCTCAGCAACCTCCCCTAAAAACAGAAGGTTGGAGACTGGATGAAAGTTATCCAAAACGGTCCAAGGATGGCCTCTTGAGGAGGGAGTGAACCACCACCTCTTTCAAAGCTGGTGGAACCACCCCCTCCTGCAAGGAGACATTTACCACCGCTTCGACCCAACACATGCCATCTCCTGGGAGGCCTTAACCAGCCGGGAGGGGCATGGGTCCCGACTACAGGTGGCAGAGCTCACAGCAGTAAGGACTCTATCCACTTCCTCAGGATTGACCGGCTCGAACTCCTCCCAGATAAGCAAGCTAGGACATGCCTCAGCTACTTCTACTGGATCTGCCCAGCCAGAGTCCAACTCCCAAAGAAGACAAGCAACTTTATCCGACAGATGCCTAGAATAGTCCTCACTACTGTTGACCTATTTTTGACATTATTGTTGACCTTAGCCAGAACATTTGTGGGTTTCTGCAGCCTAGAAGGCTGCCTGTAAGATGCCAGTTCCAAAGGTGAGCTAACTTACATAACGTATATATCTCTCCCAGAGGCTTCCAAAATTTGGATTTGAGATTTCAAGGATTCTTCTATTCTAACTACATCTACTGCTTTATCCAGGATCAAGTCATGCTGTCTGAACATTCTCTCTTTCTGGGTGGCTGAATATACACTGCTCACAATCCTGTCCTTTATAAGCAATACAGGCAGTTCTCCAAATTCACATGTTTGAGACAGTCTTTTTGGCATACAAGTCAATACAATCTCCTCTACTCCTTGAATCCTGATAATATATTTAAAAAAGACTTTCAAAAATAATATCCTCCTAGGGTCAAGATATGCAGGAATTATCTGCCTTCTGTGTAAACAGGAACATGTTGTAACTCTCCCCTGCCTCTTCACCAGCAAAATGCAAAAACAATGCCCTGAAGTTGGTTTTCTTTCTGCCTGGACCCGCTAGCAACCAGACTGAATTGAAACGATGAAGCCACTTTCACCAATTCCCTGCAGAGTTTCCTGCTCAGGACAGGACATTGGAGATTGGAAGTGAGGCCATTTAGAGTACACTCTCTTCTGACACCCGGTAGCATTCGTTAGCTTGGCACCATCCCAAGGCTCTACTTTAGGTCTGAGGTCCCCAGTCAAGTCACTTCAGATGGCAAGCAAGTTCTTTTAATCACAGGGAGGGAGCCAAGTACACACAGCAACTAGTATATTTAAAGTGTTTGTAAGCACCTCAGAAAGGAGTACAGTTGGTATATATAATGTAAATCAGACTAATTAGAAGTAGCTGTCTAACAGGCATCTGCTGGCTAACAACTCCCAAGAAAATTAAAATCATAATACTCTTATTCCACACTGTAGCCTCCACCACGTGTAGCTCTGCAAAAATGGAAGCCCAAGGAGATCAGGAGGCCACACATTCTCTTATCTCCATTCCTGGTCTATCAGCTTTTCAAAGACTCTGAACCATATTACATTATGACCAGTGCAGTTTATATTGCAATTTGATCATAAAGCATGCAGTCTTAAAATGTTGGAGTATATGTTTCCCTTTTAGTATCATTTGAAGCCGTAGGTCATGCTTATTCAGCTGCTTATGTTATGCTAATACAGAATTTGCAGGATATTTCAAGAGTGGTGAGATTTTGGAGATCAGCCTGCAGAGGGAGAGCTAGATATCCTGTGGCTTTTTGGTGTACATTAAACATAATATAGAAGCATCTCAGCACTAAACATGAAACATGAATTTACTGATGTGGAAAACCGACCTTATAAAAGAAATTTGTCTCCCTGCAATATCAGAAAAAAATGAAATGGACCAGATTCACAATTCACAGTATCAGTCAATTATAAAAAGGAAAGAATGTAGCCTGTGACAATTAAATGCATATTTATGTAGGTACAGGTAGCCATAAGCACATTAGCAGTATCATCCTTCAGTCTTTCAGAACTGTGCCTATGTCGCTAATTTATATATCCAAAACCCTGATGCTACTAAAATGCTCCATCCAAATTGGGACGTACTACTGAGATGCCATGAACCAACTTTGGTTGAATAACGGGTAGACTTTCTTTTGTACGGCTTAATTGAGCAGGAACATGTTTGTGTTTATCTGGTAGACATGGCATTCTGCAACATAAGGAAGAAAGATCCAAGATTCCTTGTTGATTCAAACACCAAGAATCATAGACTTCAGCTGTAGGGCATGGATGTGGAGGATGTACCATCTTCATGAGTTTGGGCTGCATCACAAGTTTCAATAGATCCTTCTTAAACATTTCCCAGGCATTCTGTCGAAGGAAGACCTGACACAGCTCATCATCACTGAAAAGTGAAAGCAACATTAAGAACTGGATTCCTCTTTTTAAGCAGCAGATCACTGGAATATTTTCAGTCTATCTATTTCTAAGTGTCTAAGTACAGATTCTTTACATCTGAATGAACTCATCAGACAGGGATGTCACCATCCCGCCAGCATCATTCCCACTTCCCTGTGTGTTTGGTAAGTCACGATGACTCTCCTTTTGCTTCCTTTTGTCCCTTTTGGTTGAAGCTTCTTATCTGTCTTGATGCTTGACTTGTATTCATAGCTTGAGATATGGCATGTATGTATACAGTATATTCATTGTGCCCAAAGGGAGAGCTCTTTAGACACTGTTCTTTGTATCTAGACTTTATCTGTATCCTGTTTTTCTTGTCAGTTAGTCAAGTATGATTGCACAGTGGGGAGGAAAGGGAAAGTTGTTGTGAGTGCTGACTGGGGTTTGGTCTACAAAAAGTGCTGAAGTGGAGTCAGCCGGATTCCAGTCTGATAGTTCATTTTTTCCCACCTTCTGCATGTCTATAGAGACTCACCATGCTGGACATACAAGTCTCTGTTGCAAGGATGAGAGCTCTCCCTCTGTCAATCAGCTCTCAAAACACCATCCTCTTCTGGGTAGGGGCACATTTGGACTTTGGCCTTCAAATACTGAAACAGGGGAGGGCTCAAATGACACCATCTGCCCCTTGCTCCTTGCCCCCACCATACTAAAATTGCTCTCGCCAATACCCAGATCCTCTTGAACATTCAGAGGTACTCATAATTACTGAGTAATGATTGCTCAGTGCTTTGAAGAGAAGATATTTCCTGGCTAGAGCTGCTGCTTAAAGTTTTAATGCTTTAAAATTGTTTCGGGAAATATTCTGAATAATTTGGGAAAGGTAAAAAAAGAGGTCAAGGAGTAGTATGGTATTTGGAGGACAATGACACTGGTAACATAACACCACCTGTTCTATCTTTTGATTTTCCCACCCATCCAACCAGTTCTCTGGCTTCCTTACCAACCTGCCCTTACATCTTACAGTGCTGCTAGTAAATGCTTATTCAGATCCAGAATTATGGATGGGGGGACAATGTACATTTGTAATGGAGACTTAGATACTGGAGGTGAATGGGGAATTTGCCCAGTTATCCTTGGATCACCTGGTTATATCAGGAAGCACTTGAGAAGAGAAGCAGCTTTTGCGGAAACCTATGTGCAGCTGTGAGTATATGGAACATTTTTGTTGAAAGAAAAAGATAAAAGCCTGGGCACTTTGTCTATTTTCAAATGTGACTCACTTGTTTTTCTTGGAAAGG